TAATTTTATTACGTATATTTAACAAGTAAGTCTTAATTTGTATATTATGTTTTTTAGTGCTGGGAAGCAAACCCAGGGACTCGTAATCCTCCTGCCTCTACCTCTTACAGGTGCATGGGATTTCATGTGTTCGGCCCTAGGTTCAATCCCTAAAGCATGTGTGGCAAAATGTTAAGATCTCACCAATGAATACATTGAGTTGCTCTGTTGTTCTGTACTATGTGAAAGTAGCTTTTTTTTTCTTTTCCTCCTCCTCTTTCTCCACACACAGATCTTTGCACTTTTTTGATGCTTTTGTTTTTTTCTTTTGGCACCAGGAAACAAACTCAAGGCCTTGTACTTGGTTAGGGTTAGAATGATACTATCTTTGGAAACACAAAAACACTTTGGTGAAATGTAGTTTATGTATTATGTTGTTGCTATCCCTTTAGATAATACAACTAACAGTTCACTGCCAAATCACAGGTCAGGCAGATTTATCTTTATGTTTACTTCAAAGAATTTATAGTTCTGAGCTTTATTTTTAGGATTTTAGCCCCCCACCCCTTTCAGGTATGGAGGATTGAATCCAGGGCCTCCCCACTAATCTACATCCCCAGTTTTTTGTTTTTATCTTCAGAAAAGTTCTTACCAAATCATCCAGACCAGGTTGTCATTTATAACCCTTCTGCCTCAATCTCCCAGGGTGCTGGGATTATAGGCAAGTGCTAACATAGCCAGTTTGTCCTGTTCCCTGCGGTTGACTCATGAGGACAGAGTTGTTACTACTTTACTTTCTTTTCTTTTCATGGAGGTACTGGAAGTCAACCCTGGGGCTCAACCACTGAGCTAAGCTAACATTCGCAGGTATTTTATTTTGAGATAGGGTCATGCTAAATTGCCTAGGCAGGACTCAAAATTGTGACTTTCATGCCTTAGCCACAATTCTGCAATAAGAAGTGTGTGCCACAAAGTCTGACTCTTCACTGATATAAAATTGTTTATATAATTATTTATAAATTGACATATTAATATATAATCATATAAATTATACGTAAATTAATATGTTTATATATGATTTGTATTAATATTCATATTCATTGATCAAAACAATTATAGTATACTTACTGTCTTATTTAGGGCGTATTTCTTGTTATTTTTTATTTTGTTTTTTGTTTGTATGGCTGCACTCTAGGGCAAGTGTTCTGAGGGCTAGAAGTACAGAAGCTGCAGGGAGCAGGGAATGAGCAGGCTTATCACTGCTATCTAAGGTGGCTGCACCCATCTTTGACAACTTAAAATTAAAATGACCTCATTTCTTTTAGTCTAGTAGAGATAATTATACTGAATTGTGGCTTATTTTATTTCCCTTAATGAACCACGATTAACAATCTTCTGTTAAAGTTTACAGGTGATCAGACTTTCCTATGGATTGTTTAATTTCTTATCAGCCTTTCCTTTTCTTCCTCCATTACTGATTTGCTTGTTTGTCCTGTTTACTAGTGGATCCTAATATTTTGTCTTTTATATGCATTCCACACATTCTCTTAGGCTGTGACATTACCTTTCTTCATTCACAGACATCATGAACTAATGGTACATTTTAACATTTGAAATTAATATATTTTCTTTTGCAGGCTGTTAATTTTGTATCTTGCTACGAAATCTTTCTCTATTCAAAGTTCATATAGGAGTATCTGTAGTTTTCTTTCCAAAGTTTAGTTTTGTATTTAGGTTACACTCATGATTACTTGATGACTGTACTTAGTTTCAACCAGAAAGCTATGACTTTATTTCCACTGCTACCGTTGTACTTTAAGGCTCCTGGGAATGCAAAGTAAATCAGTTATGAGGTTAGATCTCAAGATGGTGCTCACCCCTAAAGAAGAGTGAAGAGTACAGTTCTATCTACTAAGTCAGGTGTAAGGTATGTTCACTTTCCTGGTATACACGGATGCTAATAACAGTTCATGCTAATAACAGTTCATGAGAACTGTTAAACTCAACTAAAATCAGCCCTGAGCATGGTACGTACATCATTAAATTTGGCAAATGCAATAAATGAGCATTTCTTTTCCCAGATAGCAGGTATGTCTGTTATACTTAAGAAAAAAATTAAAAACATCTATTCTTTAATATATAACCCTCGGGAATTTACATTAAAGAAATAAAAATCACCAAATATAAGGATATATAGACATTTACTGCAACAATTTTATGGTTGCAAAACTAAAACCCAACCTGCAAATGACAATGGAGGGCTCTGAATAAATATGGTAAATACATGACTACTGAAAAAAACAGAAGTCCAATCTACCTGCAATGATCTAGAAGGACTGCCCAGAACACTAAGAAAAAGCAAACTGAAAAAGAACTTACGGGCTAAAATGCAACTAAAGCAAAACTAAAAAACAGCCCATCTTTACATGTGTATATTTACATGTTTTCAAATAATTTTATGAATATAGAGAACCACACAGATTGTCTTATAAGGGAGATGGAATTAGCTAGCAAGAACTGTAACTGAAGAGCATTAACGTTTTTTACATCATTTCCACACTGCTTAACTTATTTAAGTTTACTTTATGATCTAAAATAACTCAACCAAGTTTTTAAAGTCTCATAAGTGATAAGATAGTCTACAATCCCCTTCCTATTCCAACCTGGTTTCTCTCTTCCTAGGCTTTTTTAAAAGTCATTTTTATCAATGGCACTCTTGTTAAAATACATGAAAAGCTATTTACTACCTACAGGATAAAATAAAAAATCAGGAAAGAGGACTTAAGTGTTATCTAGAGGATGCAAATTCTAGTTCTTATTTTAATGAGTGAGCAAGAAAAGTGATGGCCACAATGAAAATAAGGGTGGAGATAGAGAATCACTTTGCTCCTAGAAAACCATGGTATCTTATGAAGCAATATGATACATAACTAACTTAATTGTGGATTTAGATTCTAGCAATGCCACTCTAATAGTTATGTATACTTAAACAGATTATCCTAAGTCTCAGTTTCCAAGTCAATAAATTGGAAGTTAGGATAACCGACCTTCCAGGGTTATAATAATCATTAATATTACCACACATACAGTGCCTAATCATACTGCAACCTGACAGGCGCTGGACAAATGGATTCTGTTATCATAATCATTCTCATTGTTTTTTGTTCTTTGGGTACTGGAAATTAAACTCAGGGCCTTGTGCTTGCCAGGCAGGCACTTTCCCACCATGCTACATCCCTGGCCCCCATAAATATCTTCAATCTCCAGACACCCTATTTTACCATCTTTATAATCTAGGCTTGGTGGTTTTCTATTACCCACATACATTTTATTTATTTATGGTTTGCCACAGGCGAAATCATCAGCTAAGAATTTAACATGGGTAAAATTCATTCCATTAATTTATCCTCACAACATCATATGAATTAATCCTATTTTATGTATTAAAAACAGAGGTTTAAAGAGATTAGTAGTTACTCTCGTTGTTTATTTTGATGCTAGGGTTGAAAAATCAGATTAATAAGTGCTCTAAGGTTATAATGTCAGCAAGTGCAAGAGCAGAAATTTGCAACTTAAAGTTTAAATTTTACAGTTACAGAGCATGGTCAGGGTTCAAAACTAGTGTCCTTAACCACTACGTCATGCCTGCTGTTTCAGATTAAATGTGCTACAATACTCTTCTTTCTCTGTACTTAGACCCTTATCCCCTAGGATCAACCCAAATTTATTTGTACCATACTAGTCAGTCATTCTCACCAAATGATTTTATCCCTCCAATTTACTTTTCTATACATGAATTATCTAGTTAAGCATAAATACACTGCTATATCAGAAAATATCATCTAAGTGATTTTTTTCCTCTTGGAAATTTTATTTTTTGTCAGAATGCATTTTGAGCTCCAGATAGCTTTTCCAGATCCCAACAGACTTACCTACCTCTGATAAAGGTACTCAAAAATACTGGTAGACTAATAAATTTTTTTTTTGTCTTTATCATTTTTATTGGTACTAGGGATCGAACTCACGACCGCTTACTTGCAAGGCAGGTGCTTATGCCACTGAGCTAAATCCCCAGCCCCTGTTTTTGTTTTTTGAGACAGAGTCTTCCGATGTAATTCAAGCTGGCCTCAAATTCAGGGCATTCCTCTTGCCTTAGGCTCCTGAGTTCTGGGATTATAAATGTGCACACCACCACCTTGGCTACAGTAACAGAATTTTACATCTCATACTTTATTTCTAAGAAGCAAGGCACCATGACAGTTGAGTTTTGATAATTAAGAAAAAGCTCAAATGTTAAAGGGCACACATTTCATAAACAAATACCTTGAAACCAGTAATAGGAATAGAAAACACAGTTGGTACATGGCACCTTTATGACTGCAAAACAGGGTTCAATGAACAATAATCAGAAGCTATTTGGTTTCCTATTCTACTGTGCCCTAGATTTGACAGGCTGTGGAGATTAACTGAGTATGGACAATGTAAAGAGAGAGAAATTTAATAGTTCCTAAGAGATGAAATTATCAGTTTTAAATCCTGAGAAAAAAAGACAAAAATCTTTTCATACAGGCTAGGATTAGAACCAACAGGTAATTTAATTTTAAATTGATTTAAATATAAAAAGCAGCATTTACTTTATTTTTATTATACTCCAGGAATATCTGGTTACTTCTAATAATAATTTTTTGCATTGCTGGGGATCAAACCCAAGGCCTTGCGCATGCTAGGCTAGCGCTCTACCTCTGAGCTGCTTCTCCAGAGCCACAGTACTAATTTAAACCTTAGTTAATCCTACCCACATCTTGGATGGGACCATCTTCTGTGCCATTCCAGACTATATCAGAGGATACATTTTAATAAACCATGATTTTTTTTTAATCAATGAAGGTATCATATTAACAAATGCTAAAAATATATTCTCCCCTTTACATTGCCCCAATAACACTTCTGGGAAGAATGTGTAGTGAGGGGAGAATATACCTCTTGAAGATTTCTGGTTTTACGCCTTCCTTTCTTCTTACCGTTACTAAACATCGACACATGTTTGCGTAAGCCACAGAGAAACTGGGTTCATCAATAGCCTTCTCAAAGACCAGGTCAATGACTCCTTTCAGCCGCTCCTCAGTGTCAACAGTAAGCCCTGCCACTTGCTTCATCAGTTGGTTGAACATCTGTGGTGTCAATTTATTTAAGATACTTCTAACTTTTCTAAAAAGTTCCTAGCAGGACCAAAAAAAAAAAAAAAAAAAACCACATTAGAGTATGACAATGCAGTACTTTCTGGAAAGATTTTAAAAATGTAATTCATATTAAACTTAACTTCTCAGATTAATGAAGATTGTGAAATATTCAGAAAAGTAATTAAATTCATCGACTTTAACAATCAATCAAACATTCTACCCTTCTGACTACTGATAAAGGATTCTAAGAACTAAGTATAGCTGTAGTTCACTGGCAGGAAAGTCACTCCCAGCAAAAACAACACCTTGCTGTGCAGTTCAGTCTAGCTTTGAACTCATTATGCAATCCAGGTCACCAGGAACTCCTGGTGATGCTCCTGCCGCAGCTCCTCCTAAATGGTGAGATTACAGGCATGTGCCACCATGCCTGGCAAAAATGTTGTTTAGTACATTCTTTTTTTTCTTTCTTTGGGGCCAGGGACTGCACCCATGGCTTCTGGTATGGGGGGCACGGTGCTCTTATACTGAGATTTTTTTGAAGGCCAATGTGACAATGTGTGTCAGAGGCTTTGAAAGTGGATGTGTCCTCTGAACCAATAATTACAGTTTTAAAAACTTATTCATATTTAAGGATAGATAAAAATTTTTTAGACACAATAAGCTTCAGAGGAAAGACTTCAGCCTGGGCTGTGTAGTATACAAGGCTAACCTGAACTATATAGTGAGGCTTTGTCTCAAAACCAAACCAGGCCAGCATGGTAATGCCTGCTTGTAAACCCAGCACTCAGGAGGCCAAGGCCAGAGGATTGCTGCAAGTTTGGAGCCAGTGTGGGTTACAAAGTTAGGACTTGTATCAGTTAGAAAAAAGGCCATCTACAACCATACTTAATTGTAAAATATTAGATAGATATTTTCCCCTAAAATTGGAAACAAGGGAAAAATACCTCTTCTTACCATTCCACTCAATATCACAAGTGATAATCAGCAAAAGGCAAAGAAAAAGAAAATAAAACTAGATATTCATAGGGATATAATTACTGTTAAGAAGTCAGTTTTCCCCAAAAGTGATCTACATATTTCATATAATTCAAATAAAAATCCTACAGAGACTTTAAAAAAATCAAGTTCAAGGGCTAGGGGTTTAGTTCACCAGCGTAAGTGCCTGCCTGGCAAGAGTTCAATCTCCCGTACCACCAAAAAAAAAAAAAAAAAAAAAAAAAAAAATTCAAGTTCATTCCACAATTTATACAAAAAGAGGAAAGAACTTTCCTCAATTTTTACAATTTATAAAAAATTTAAAAGAGCTTAAGTAATTGGGGGTGGGGGAAGAAGACCCACACAACTTTATTTTAACATGAAACATATGTGGTTACTAAATAAAAAATGTGATACTGGCCAATGGACAGACACAAACCTCAAATGGAACAGAATGAAGAATCTAGAAACAGACTCACAGAGACATGAGTTGATTTTTAACAAAAACTATGGTGAAAATTCAATGGACAAAACACAGTTTTTTAAACAAATTGTGCTGGAAGAACTGAACATTGATTTTTACAGAGGGGAACCTTAATCCCCATCTTGCACCTTTTATAAAACTTAAGAGTGGGGAATGTAGCTGATCAGTAAAGTGCTTGGTTAGCATCTGTGAGACTCAGGTCTGCTGGGCCTGTTAGAGCACGCCAGTCATCCCAGCAATCAGGACGTGGAGGCAGCATCACTGCCAATTTGAGGCCAGCCTAAATTCCATAGTGAGATGCTGTCTTTTGAAATAAAAAAAAAAAAAGACCCTGGGGAGAGCCTTTGCACCACAAAAAACAAAGCAAAACACACACACACACACACACACACACACACCCCTCAATTGAAACTGGCTCACAGAATTAAACATAAATTTGTTTAGGAATGTCACACAAATTAAAGCTACAATGGGATGCCACCACATATTCATGACAATAGCAAAAACTTAAAAGCAGAAAAAGAACAAATGGTGAGGATGGTTAGGCATAGTGAAACTCCCACGCACTGCTGTGGTAATGCAAAACGGTACAACTGCTTCAGAAAACATCTGACTTTGTGTATTCCAATAAGGTCAAACATAAAGTTTAACAAAAGGCCCATCAATAAATATTATGGCTGAGAACTTACCTAAAGGGAAGAAAATTTATTTCATACAAAATCTGTATGTCAAACTTTATTACAAGTGCCAAAATTTTGCAAATGTTTATTCTATGAATAGATGAAGAATGAACATTCTTAGGCAATAAGATAATATGAATGAATCTAAAATGTATATCTTGGAAGAAACTATGATTAAAATGATTCAATTTACATCATTTTCTGGAAAAAACAACAGATTAAGGACAGAAAACAAATCACTGATCACCAGAGGTGAGCATGACGGAACAGAATACATAAAGTAACATAAAGTGATGACGTTTGGGATTTAATGGAAACATAATATATCTTGACTGTGGTAATAGTTAAATGACTATCATATCTGTCAACAATTACAGAAAGGTACACAAAAAGGAACTTTTACTGTAATGTCTCAGTTTTTTTAAAAAAGCTGTAAAAGAAGCAAGACATAATATCTAAACAAGCTTGTAAAATGTTTTGACTGCTTCAAAAACTTACATGTATGCAAGAATATTTAGAGTATGTGTAAATGTCAACAACCTTTTCTATTTAGGAGATAAGTCAATTACAAAATAATATTGTCAAGGGTTTCTTTTTTTCTTTTTCTTTTTTTTTTTTTAGCAGTTAGCCAGGATTGCTTCTTATAAAGAAAGAAATTAATAAAAAGTCTATTAGGGACAGGAGGAGAAGCTGTTGTACCTCTTTAAACAGCTTGTATTAACTTAGGTAATATAAGTAAGGTTAAAAATGTTAAAATTCTCCTTTATACAAAAATCTTCAATTAGCCCTACTTTTAGAAGATAATGTATGCCTAGGAAAATATAATCTTTTATTACAATAGTATCTACTTGATGTCCATTAAATTCTCTACTAGGTACAGATGAAACATAAGGAAGAATTAACGCCTTTCTCACAATCAAAATCTAGCTGAAAAGATATTTTAAAGACAAAGAAAATATTAGGATTGAATAGGGACCAATAAAGAGAGTAGTTTAGATATGATGTTAGAGGTCACAGGCACTTAATCAGGAAAATGAAAGTTGGGACAAATTATGGTAGACAGAAAAGACTGGTTGGTTAACTGAAAAGAAAAAGGAAAACGTGTTAAGGTGAGACTGTTGTTAAGGAATTCTTATTTGGAGAATGGAAAGAACCACCAGGAACCATCAGACTAGCAGTATTCGCTAGCTGTGGGGCAAAGTGACATCTTGAATGCTACCTTTAAAAGTTAGAAATTAGTGCTTCAGGGAGGTAAGGTGGGGGAGGAGGTGTGAATCTTGTACCACAAGGAAAAGAGAGAGATAAAGTAAGGACCACCCCCCCTGGATCTATAATACCAGTGCAGTGGTGGAGTTCAGACACATCTTCAGGCAATGCTTTTCTAGGAATGCTTTAAACAGATGGTATTTTATGGTATAAGAAGAACAGTATCATTGAAAGGCATTCATAATGCTTTAATGTAGTGGTTGGAATAAAATCAGAATACAAAAGTTTTCTAGCAGTATAGGCAAAAATAAATCTATTGTTTTGATGAAAAAGGAAAGTAAAAGAAAAGCAAGCAATAGGCAACATGAGGTATAACTGTGTAGAGGAGAATGAAAACACCAAAAAGGAGAAGCGGAGTAAGATACTATTTAGAAGAAAATGACTCCCTCCCCCGTAAAAAAAAGGGTTCGCATTAGATCTGAAAAAGAAGATTAAATTTTCTCTTGGAGTTGCTGTATCTATCCACAAAAGAAAACTTAGCAGATTAATGACATCTCATGTCTACCTAATTATATTTTTCTTATAAGAATTAATAATATCTGTAACATAGTAAATAAGAGTCAGAGTGCAAGTCACAAAAACTAGACTACTCAATAATCATGACACAAGAAATGCACTAAGTAACCAAGTAACTTATTCTTTGAAGCTTTTGTATATGGGAAAAAAGACTAACATGTATTTCTTCTTCATGGGTATAAAAAGAATTTATCTAATAAAATCAGGTATTATAGCTGGGCATGGTGGTAGGTACTTATAATTCCAGTTCTGTGAGAAGCTGAAACAAGAGGACATGAAGTGTGAGCCAAGCCTGGGTGATTTAATGAGATCTGGTCTCAGTAAAATAAGTGCTTTACATACTAAAACAGGACATTTCAATGCTGAAGGTCTGGTAGAAATTTTAAACTATGTAAGACATTTAGGCCACCATACTTGTTAAACATTTCTCAGGGAGACTGAATAAAGAGATATGGAAGGCAATTACTTTAAAGGTTGAGATATGTTGAGATGAGACAAATGAATTATGGAGTTGATTTCAGTTAAAGTAGGAAGATATATTTAGCAACTTTGTACCAAGTATTTGAGCAACTTCTGGAGAAATGAACAATGGCAAACAGCCAATTAAGGTTTGAAAGCATGGTTTTCTGATCAATTAGATCATTTTTACTTAACTTTTTAAGAACAACATTGTTGGTTAGTTTAGTAATTTGACAAATACTTGCTGAATATCTACTACGGATGAAGGTCTGTGTTGGTGCTGAATCAAAGAGATGCCCAAGGGAACATCAACATAATTAGGATCTAGGAAACATGCCAAATGTTCTGCATTCATTTACTTGTCACACTGGCTCGGTGACATGGTTAGTATTTGTATCATCATTTTGTAGTTTAGGTTAAGAATCTGTTTAACAGAGCAAGGACCCTGACTTCTGAGTTGAAATTTTTAGCTGTTAAAGTGACGTGTTCAGGGTCAGAGAAAAGATAAACAATAAGAAACTAAAAGTCAGTATATCATCTATGATGCCTGGCGTCTAGTATAGTTGCACATATGGAGAATATACTTTGGCCATCTAGGAAAAGAAAATCCAAAGGAGATAAGAAGAGGTAACCCAGGGATTAAAATTGGCATTACTGACACGTACAGAAAACTATGAATAAATGTTTTATATAATCTACTACACAAAAGTTAGTTTTGTGTGAATTTAAAAAGAAATTCATCCAAAAGGAATTCTGAGAACAGACATATACAAAAAAGATACAAAAAGTTCAATTTAATTCCAAAAGATTCAAAACAAGATGGGTTTCTAAATTATAGCTTATTAGAAAGGAATGCCTGAAGCTTAGCTGTTCATCAACAGATGAACAGATAAAGAAAATGTGGTATTTATACACAATGGAGTACCGTATACTCTACCATAAAGACAAACCTGAATTACTTGTAGGAAAATGGATACATCTTAAAACCATGTTAAATTTATAAATCAGTCACGTAACCTTAAATATTTCATGGTTTCTCATGAGAAAACAAATTATAAATAAAGAGCAAAATAAAAGATAGATAATAGGAAGTTAGGAGATAGATCATTCTCAAATGGCAAAAGGATTAACAGATGGAGGGGGTGAGGGAAAGCAGATAAGAAAGGAAATATGATGTGTTATATACAGGCACCAATTTCACATAAATGTAAACATGATGTACTGGAAACGTGTACTAATAAAAACTATTTTAAAAGGAAGGGCTGACAAGGAAGATGAAAGCAATGTTTTATAAATTAGCATAGGAAAGAGGCATTATTGAGAATATAAAAATCATTTTTCAAAGATTTTTAAAAAACTTTTTGGTATCAGGTATCGAACTTAGGACCTTGTGTTTGCCAGGCAGGTGCTTATGCCACTGAGCTATATTCCCAGTCACAGAAATCATTTTTTAAAACAGCAAATACTCATTTTAATCTTAATGACAGAAGTCTATCATGTATAAGCCGACTAGACTTGGTGACTTTTTATAAAAAGCACACAAACAGTAATTTCAAGAGAAAGTAGTGGGTTCGCTGGAATCCACAATGGCTTTGAGAAGAATGCTTTCAACAGAAAAAAAATACATAGCCTTTAACTGGTTGGTATTTCTCCATATACTGACAAGGCAAGACAAGTTAAAACAAATTAAAATATCATCATAATTCCAAAATAATGTTAAGATGCACTCTTATTCTTACCTGGGTTTTTATATTTTCGGGATCCTCAGCTAGGCTATCTCGTTTCTGGCTGGGCTTCCAGGCATTCTCTGCTTTTTTCAAATGCACGTCTTCTTTTACAGGAACTGTGATGATCTTTCTGGGTTCCCTTCTCTGGCCAGGCTGAGACCTCCGTGGTCCAACATTCAACAACTAGAAGAATATTACATCTATTTAGAGTACTTCACATTTTGAACTGTGTTCCCTGTGGTGTTCTAGTCAAGCCTGATGTTCACACCAGATACTTCAAGATGAAAATACTAGATAGCAGGAATGCAAATTAGATGTGATCTTTTTCTTTTCATGTGTAGAGAGGGAAGAAAAATAACTTCAGAATATCACCAATACAATTTTGAGAGACAAAATGATGAATAATGACACTGAATAAAGCTGTTGTTCCTAACAAAAAAGATTAGTCCTAACTAAAGCTCTAAATTCTAATAGATGTGTAACTTTGCGCAGACTGGCCACTGTCAAAATTACAAACATTCACAGGTAGTAATAATTAGTAACAAATCTCCTATAAAAGCTGATTTTTTACACTTCAAGGGTAAAATGCAAACACAACTTTGTTGCTAAAATTTCCCATATCACAAACACGTATCCTTACTGCAGGTCATACTGGAGAGTTTAACAGTCAAACTAAATGACTCCCTGAAACTTTTTTCTTTCTAAACTCTCTGAGCTTTCTAGATTTTCACTACACTCTTGTTAGTAACAATATATGTTAGGATGTCACAATGATCATCAAATTAAGTATTGTTACTATCAAAGATAATGTAAGCAGAAGTACATTTTTGCATATCAAACTAACCACAGCAGTTGTTATCTTAAATGCCTGAAAATCATTTCTCAATATTGACCACTGAGTAGATAGTAATCCCTGCTACTTCTGTATCTGTTGTGTGTTAATAACTTTTATCTTTTAGGACACACCATTCTTTAAATGCCGAGCAAATACTGCCATTGGGAAACAAAAATCTTCACAAGACAGACCAAAACCACAACTCACCTAATAACCCAACACTGCCCTTTAGAATTTCCACTAAGCTTCAGAGAAGAAGAGCACAGACTTAAAAGTCATGCTTTCATTGAACAAAACTGTTTGCAGTCTGACTGTTTGAAAGTCCCCTCTATATGCTTTAATTTTGTAACTTCAACAACTATTTCCAAGATGACAATATGTAATTAACTAGTGATTTCCTACTGTTTACTTTTTCTGAAATTCTGTATAACTTGTACCCTTTTTCTGTTTTTTTTTCTTTTTTCTCCTTAAATAAAATTAAAAAAAAAAAGTCATGCTTTCATAAAGATACTTCTAGGAAAACACAGTTGGAGTATCTGAGCTGATACATTAGAAGCCTTTACATACCAGTCATTCTCAGAATTAGTTACTTAAACAATGTTAAGAATGCATCAGGGCTAAAATTTGGAATTTCTGGGAAATTCATATTAATCTTGTTAAATGTATTCAGTTAAGGATACAGTACTGATGTGATCTCAAACTTTTTGGTAAAATTAAAAAAAAACCAGGAGAATCAAACATAGTATAACTGAAAGACACTTAAAGATTGAAAAACTGCCAACAAGAAAGTGTTGCTAAAGTAGATAGGATTACCTTAAAATTATTTATTTATAACTGAATCTTTGATATGGCAGCTCAGACCAAATAATTCCACTAAGAAAATATAGCAATCCAAGTAATGTTTAGATTTATAATCTAAGTGACAGTTGATTGATGTCTTGTGTGAGTGAATTTATTTTTCAATGCTTGCATACAGCTAAAGCAAGCAATTATAAGGCATTTAACCCATATACTTGCACATGTTTGTCAAAAATGTATGCATCTAGATATAATGAAAGTAATTACATGAAAATCATGTGACTATTATAATATGCATATCTGGAGATAAAGTCATAAAAGGTTTATTTCCAAAATCTGCAAACAACAATGAATGTCTTGGAGGTATCTTTTCACCTGATCCCATATAAGTATGTGTGATGTCAAATAAGCACCACATGAAAATGACAAAAATAAAATGCTTAATAACAAAGTTAAAAAGTTAACAGAACATTTAATAACGAAGTTCAAAAAAATAAATAAAATGCTTAATAACAAAGTTCAAAGAAAAACAAGAAGGTAACTTATAAACCGTTAGTTTAAGATAAAATAGCTGAAATTATTACCCACATAAAAATTCCTGGGACAAATTTAAGAATTCTCTTTGTATTACTTGGCATATAAAAGGTAAATTCTGTTCTCAAATATTTACCTAAGTATTTTGTGTCCTTAATAGATTTGATATTTTGGGGGGGAGGGGACGGGACAAGGGATTGAACTCATGACCTCATGCTTGCCAGGCAGATGCTTATGCCACTGAGCTGAATCTGGCCCTTGCTATGCTTTTAAACCCTTAAAATGCTTAATTAATTAATCTCTACACAGCTGGAATGAAGTCATTGTCTAGAATATCAACACCTGGAAGGACTCTGATACAGTAGAGAAAAGAGACAGGCATTCATAAATTGATCAGGTGGGCCTCAAAGTTACAATCCTCCTGCCTGTCAGTGCCAGGATAAAGCATGTATCACCATACCGAACAATAATATTTACAATTAAACACACACACACACACACACACACACACACACACACACACACACGTGCACCCCAAACCAGCAATTCCACAAAACCATGCAAGATCTAACCATAAATTGCAAAGCAGCGAAAGGAACATTTAAAATTAAATATGATGTGCCAATTTTAACATTTCATGTCTTTTTTCATGTAAAAAAAAATCACGAAATATATAGCAGTGTCCAAAAGCACTATATGATTTAATACTAAACAAAAAAATCCCCAAGAACCTGTGCTAAGACTTATGGTATGCAGAAAAACAAATGAAGTCTCATCTCTTTGCTAAAGGACAAAGCTGAGTGATAGTGAGGAGGACGTGTCAGTACACTGTACTCAGAGACTACCTGTATCAGAATTAAAATAAATTTTTAATCTTTGGTGTTGACTAATAAAGCACAGATCTTTTCCAAGTGAGCCTAAGTTTAAATTCTTTTCTTACTCACTTTCAATCTTTTAAATACATTAAATGAAAAACTATACCCATTTCTGTTTTGGAATTTAATATGCAATGTTCCCATCTCATTCACAGACTCAACTTGCAAATCTCTCTGTTTATCTGGGAAAGAAAACAGAACACTGGACTTTAAAGCCAGGGCCCCGTGCACGCTAGGCAAAAATTTTGTCACTGAGCTATATCCTCAGCACTTTTTATTTTTAGACAGTGTCTCACTAGATTGCCCTGGGTGGCTTCAAACTGTGGTCCTCCTGTGAGAAAGTAGCTGCCATGACAGGCATGTACCGTCATACTCAGCTGTCATAGCAACTTTTTGTTACCCCTTTTTTTGAGACAAGGTCTTGCTCTGCAGTTAAGGCTGGCTTTGAACTCACTTTTGTAGTCCAGGCTGACTCTGAACTCACAGTGATCCTCTTGCCTCAGCCTCCAAAGAGTTGGGATTACAGGCATGTATCATGATGCCGGTTTCACTTTAGCAATCTTTTTTTTTTTTTTTTTTGGTAGCGGGGATTGAGCTCATGACTGCGTGCTTGAAAGGCAGGCACTTCTGCCGCAGAGCTAAATCCCCCGCCCTCACATTACCTATTGTCTATCTTTAAAGAAGATAGACAATAGTTTAAAGAGACAAGGAATGAGACTATCATCAACTCAGGAACATCTCTGTTCCTAGGATTTATAATGGCAGAATGTCACTAAATTTAATCCCTAGTACCGTCCTTCCACTCAAACACAACACACACACACACACACAGAATGGTAAATTTCTATTTCTAGATACATAGCTCCTCTAAGCATTTATTTTGGAGCACATTCTGACATGTTTACAAGTAGACTAAATATCATTTGAACTATCAATAAAAATCCCAGAAATCTAAAGATGATCCTTCTCAGCGTTTTCAACAGATATGTACTTTTTTATCCAACAAATGTTTGAAAAATGTATACACATCTGAACATAATATTTTGAAAAATTTTAACTGCAATTTATGGCTACTTAAGCCTTACTATACAATCTATTTAGTAGATTTTCATATGATTGTATAGTAATTAATTTTTTTTTTTTTGTCTTTTGTCTTTTTATCAGTACCGGGGATTGAACTCACGACTGCCTGCTTGCAAGGCAGGCGCTTACGCCGCTGAGCTAAATCCCCAGCCCCCTTATAGTAATTAATTTTAAGACAGCCTGGATAATGCATAGAAGTAATTACAGGTATAGAACTACAAACTATGAAGAGTTAGTGTTATGGCTTATATTTAATTGTGGCCCCCAAAGCCTTGCGCACTCATAAGTGGGGCTTTTGGGAGGTGACTATATCTTGGGTGTGTAATACTGGAGTACTCCGATTGGTTCGGCACAGATAGGAGTGTGGATATTAGGATTTATTGAAGAAGGAAGACCCACCCTAGGTGTTTGTGGTATCAACCAACAGGGTTGCAGCATGCATGGAATAAAAAGAAGGCAGAAGAAAGGCTGCTGCTTCCAGCCTGCCATGCCATGGACTGTTTTCCTTCTGCTGTGCCCCTGGGTCATGCTATCCTGCTTTGGAGCCTGGTGACTATGGACTGAACCTCTACAACCTGTGAGCTAAAATAAACTTTTCTTCATTAACTTATGGGTGCCACCTATTTTCTTTCAGCAATGAAAAAGTACCCAAGACAATTGTAGTATCTTTTTTATATTATATATTTATGGTATCTTTTTTATATTATATATTTATGCCTTATGACAGAGCCATCTGAATTTATGTCAATACACTAAGGTATAAATTGAGCTAATTAAGTGGAAAATGTCTGTTAGCTAGGGGAAATACTGGTATCATAACTACTTGCTTGGGGCTGGGGGTTTAGCTCAGTGGCATAAACGCCTGCCTTGAAAGCAGGCAGTCGTGAGTTCGATCCCTGGTACAGATAAAAAAAAAAAAAAAAAAAACTACTTGCTTAAGGATTACATCATCAACATTACTCTGACATCACAATTTTACTTCACTACTAGCTTTTGACATGATAAAGTTTTTTTTTTCTTTTTTAATCGGTACCAGGGATTGAACTCATGACCGCCTGCTTGCAGGGCAGGTGCTTATGCCGCTGAGCTAAATCCCCAGCCCATATATATATATATATTTTGTCATAAGTTTCTTAACAAACAAAATTAAATAATTATTGCTAATCTTTTTATCACAAATTTTACAAAATGTATCATTTCTAGTTGTATGACTTTGACTATAACAGAATACTCATTTATCTGACGTATGCAGGGCATTACATGAATGGTTAAACATAGTTAGATTTTACTTGCTAAATTCATCTTTTATTTTCCGTATTCCAAAAGAGATATAGATTATTATCAACTCACAACATTGTGTTTTGCTATAACAGGAAAACAATGGAACAGAAGACACGGCAATTCATGCCTTTTGTGACTCATCGATGAATGAAATTTAGCAATATAATAATAATCACAGATGCTATTATTCAGATAATCAAAATGGCATCAACATTATTTCACATTTCACATGCTGGCAAAAGAAAATTATTACTCAAACCAAAATAAAGGGTAATACAAATATATATATTTAAATCATCAAAAAGAGAAATAATGCTAGAAAAAAGGTACAAATGGTTACTAGAAAGCTGCTTTCTAAGACTTTTTGGTAAGACAACTAAAGCTTTTGAAAAATTTTCACAATTAGAAAAAATAGATAAAGGTTAAACTGTAGAACCACATGTAAGCAAAGTATCATACACGCAAAGATCTAAAGATGATGTCCAATAAGAGTAAGTTTCCAATTAAGGAGGTTTCCTGTAGGTTTTATGGAACCTCCAAAATGTTGAAAGCATTCAAATAGCTTTCATACGTGTTCAGATGCAGGCCAATAATCAAATAATTTAAATATTTACAAAGTAAGATTTGTTTTTAGACAATGTAGTCTTATTGCAAAGCAGGTTTCAAAAGCTGTCATTTGAGAAATAAAAAAATGATGGGGAAATGAAATCACCTTATATATGAAAATATTTTCAGAAATATAAAGTACTCTTAATATGGTGTCCTACAAATAAACAGCAAACCCCATGCTCCTCCAGATTTTAGAATAAATGCTCTCTGTGCCATTCTAATTCAGGGGAAAAGATGTATACACATCACTGGCAACTTTCCTTGTGCTTTGTGCAAGTCTAAAAACAAATGGAGGCGGCAGAGCTTGCCGAATCCTGCACAGTGCACTGTCCCTGCACAACTCCATTGCTGACACCACTTCCACCCCAGAAGAGCCTGCCACTGAGATAGGGGCCATTTGCCGTTTCAGGGATACCACTCTTTTACAGACGTCATGTATTTACATTTTGACTTACAATCTATGTAAAAAGAGCAAAATGAAAGATAACACCATAAACTATTGTTTGAAAACAATGATTCGGGGGCTGGGGATTTAGCTCAATGGCATAAGCACCTGCCTTGCAAGTAGGCAATCGTGAGTTCGTTCCCCGGTACCGATAAAAAGACAAAAAAAAAAAAAAAAAAAAAAAAAGATTCAGCCCTAGAGGCAGGCTCTTCAGGGGTGGATGCGACATTGCCAGTGGAGTGCAACTTGGGGCTTTACTCTGTTCCACAATTGGCAATCCATGCCTGCTCTGCATTTTGTAAATCTGCGAAAACAAAGACAAAACAGATGACCATTAACTGAATGTCACAAGACATCTCCAGTACAGCAGGCCATCTCAAAACAAAACAGGAATTTTACAAAGGTTGGCTCTATTTTTAAACCTATTTTTAGGTCACTTCAAATGAAAATGGATGAAAACAAATCAAGAACAAATTAATGCAGACCAACTTTGGTCAAGTAAAAAGGATTCAAGTGTATCCTTTATTTGCCTTAATATGGAAGGGATAAAATTTTTGCCTCCTACTTCTCAATTATATAATCATTGAATAAAGATCATTCTCTTGCTATCTGACAAAAAGATGTCATGGCTTCTATGACAGATACTTTTCTAACTAATGCAATTGTAGGGAATGTGCACTTACAGGTACACCTCTTCCACCAGGTGTTTGCCTCCCAAAATCTGCAAAGGCTGGAGTAAAGTCTGGCCCTCGAGGTAAAATCCGAGGATCCAGTGTTCGCACTGGCAGTTTGGGCTGGTTGATCTGTAAAAAGCAAAAGAAAACTTAAAAATACATTCCTGACCATCTGGTGCCAGTATATTACCAAAAACTAAAAAATCACTGGAAATGGTGAACACTGGGTTCCGGACCAGTACAAGTCCAACCTAGTTACATGAAAGATTCTCCTCAACCAGCCTCATAACTAACAGAAGAACAATGATGTTTTTGGTGCCCTGGAGCTGATTATGCTTGAAATTTTCAAGGGAAAGCTACATGTAAACAGCAGATTGTCTCACTAGCTACTGAAGACCAATAGAATGGCATAAGACAAGCAAACGATTTTGAGATCTTTGGAACTACAATCCATTGTGGGATTTTAAGAGAGGATATTCATCAAGATATTAGGGTACCTGATGACAAAAATTCTGCCGTCATCTATTTGTGTTTTATTGCTATATGCTAAAAGCATGTATACTGAGCAGGCAAGTCTCAAAGGAGATGTCTCATGAAATTTCACTTTGCTCAGTTAATTTGAGATATGATTTTAATTACATTTATAATGTAACAACAAAGCTAAGGTGTTGAGCAAAAAAATCAATTAATGAATAGCCATAGTCAAAAATCAAAAAATAAAGCCAGGCGTGGTGGCTCATGCCTATAATCCCAGCACTCGAGAGGCTGAGGCAGGAGGATCATTATGAGTTCAAGATCAACCTGAGCTACAAAGTGAGCTCAAGGTCAGCCTGAACTGCACAGTGAGAACCTGTCTCAAAAAGACAAAAATAAATAAATAAATAAAAATTAAAAAATAACAGGAAAGTAGGGATATTTCCGAAGAGGATCATCTAATTCAGTGGTGATCACACTTGTACTCTGAGGTACTAAACTATGCTCAAAATAATACCTACCACCAATCATTTAACAAATAAATAAATACCTAACAAACAAATACCTCGAACAACACAGAGATACAAGAGAAATAAGGTCTGTTGCTATGGGAAAGTAAAATAACACAAATAAGATTAGTGCAAGTTCTTGTAGAATATCGCCATAACAGGTAGAGTTATCATTGTTTATGGTAAGGTTAATAAGGATTCATGCATGCATTCATTTGATTGTTTATTTATTTGTTTTTTTGTTTTGCTTTGGTTTTGTTTTTTGAGACAGTCTTGCTAGGTAGTCCAGGCTGGCTTTGAACTCACTATGTAGCCCCTGCTGGCTTCAAACTCACAGCAATCCTCCTGCCTCAGGCTCCTGAGTGAAGAGATTACAAGAATGTGCCACCTTGCTCAGCTTAGGTAACATTTTATTTTATTTTATTTATTTTGGTACTGGGGATGGAACTCACAACCTCATGCTTCCTAGGCAAGCGCTTATGCCACTGAGCTAAATCCCAGGGCCCCTAAGCTAACATTTTAATGAGAAAAATATTCATTTTGAAAAATACTTCAGCGGCTCCACAGCTGACCTAGCATGCTTTAAGTTCTGGGTTTAAAGGTTAGTACCAAAACAAAGTTTTAACTTAGTCAGCAGCATTAGTTTATCTTTGGTTTACATGAAATTAGTTAAGCAATTTATTTACTTACTTGCTCCTTTCAATTTAATAAATTTTAAAATTAGTGCACTGACCTTACTAATTGTTCTGTGTGCATCATTCAGAACACATGCAAATGAAGGATATCTAGTATTATATGCCCAGGGCTAGAAACTTCAACCACTGGAAGTAACTCTTCGGAAAAATTAAACTATACATTATTTGAACTATGTTCATTCCCACTTAAGTTTGACCTATCAAATACCTCCCTACCTCTCTTCTGTCTTCAATGCTACTATAATTCCATTATAAAATTTTCCAACAATGGGGAAAGAACTCCCCATCATTTAAACAGTATGTTTCCTCCAACAAACAGTTGTTACTGTATCACTAGTATTAGGGATTAAGAACTGGTGGTCAACTTAATGCTAGCTGGATTAAATCAGCAGGGCGCTAAGCGTAGATGTTCCATCTGAGGAAAGATGCCAGCATAGAGACATAGAGAAGGAGAAGCTATTGTGTTGAGGTGTTGAGACATTGTGGGTTCTCCTACGAGCTGCTGTTTGAGCTGTTAGATTCTCCTGGAGAAGCTTTGGTCCTCACATCGAGCATTGCTTCCTGAATCCGCAGGGGAAGATGTGTGCCACTTGGTCTCCAGGATGAACTTGTCATGCTGGCTTCGTGGCACGTACCCAACTGTGCTTATAGTTGGAGGAGCTTGGGGTCTCCATGTCACTGAGGATTCCTGTGGTGCCTTTCAGGACATCCCTGGTCTTTGTTATGAGTGTGGCTTCTCGGCTCCAGCGTAGAATCCTCAGCCCACCAGCAAAGCTCCTTCACCTGCTTGCATGGACTTTCTGGCTTCCACCACTGACCTTTGGGCCTTCCCAGCAGGGATCCGTGAAAGAGACTGTGAGTCCTTCTTGTGGGCTCTGGACCTCCAGTTAGACTTGTGGGAGGCACTGTCATGAGCTCTGGGTTTTCATCTGGACTCCTGTGTGACACTGCTGTGGGACTTAGGCTCTTGACTAAATATTCTATGTCTTTGGTGTTGCGCATAGATTTCCTGCAGTTTCTTGTGTTAACGCTGGGTGACCATCAAAAACAGTATTATAAACTCCATGTTCCTGATTCTAATTGTTCTGTGCACAACCTCTGACTACAACAAAAAACCCAAGAGTGTTTAGGAAAATCTCATTGTTAAGCATTACATATTTTTATTCAAGTGCCATTTGATGCTAAAAACTGCACATACTTTATGTATTTCGCCGATAGTTAAAGTCAGCTGCCATCCAAAGGACAGCTTTCACAGAGTGTGCAGCTTACCTTATCAAGAACCACATCACTGATGGGAGGTAGGCCCTCTGGTTTTTGGACACAGGCTGGCATATACTGGATGTCCAGGAGAAAATCTCTGTCATACTGTTTCTTGCCTTCAGTATGAGCAGGCTTCCAGGACTCTAAAAGAAGAATATGGGTAGATGACTATATAAACTACATTCCAATATGTACTTATCTTCCCATAAACAATATAAAAAGGTACACTGCACTACAGTCAGAAAATGTCATGCAATGATTTGAAAGTACCATTGTTCTTTCTTCCACTTTTCTGGACTCCTTTAAAATAATCTCAAGCAAGCAGAAACTACTTCATACAAAAAGCATATTCATATTAAGCAACCTTTGGCCAATTAACCTGTAAATAGTCTTCATTAAATAAACCATCAAACCTTTAAAAATCTTAGGAATTTAACAAAACCCTCAGCTATAGGGAAAATAAGGCTATTTTGCTCACAAGGAAACATTTTTTATGTATTTACTTATTTTGGTTTTTAGAGACAGGGTCTCCCTATGTAGCCCAGGTTGAACTCAGATTCACAGTGATCGTTTGCCTCAGCCTCCCAAGTGCTGGAATTTCAAACCTGTGTGATCACGTCTGGCTGGACACAAGGTCTAGCACATAGTCTACTACGGTGCCAAACCCATAACCCCTTAAGCAGCTAGTTGAAGGATTTTCAACTTTGGTTGGTTTGGTTTGCTGAATCTACTAGAACACAGTTTAGAATCTTTTTCTAAATATCCTGACTCTCAAAGTATTCCCAGCTAGTGAATTTTTAAAAATTTTTTTGCTACAGCAGTTACCTTGCTACTAATACTACTGTTTCAGCTATTGCCAAAATTGGAGAACTTATGTATAAAATTTTATCGGCTAACAAAAAGTCATCATTTTTTTCTTTTAATTGACAGAATTCTTAATCAGGCCTCCAGTCACTTCATGATAACACACTGGATCCTCCCTATAATAGTAGTTCAAATTGTGTAGTGTGAGATATAGACCTAGTAATGGGCTATGAGAAATTGAGGATGTTTCCAACCAAATCCTTAGTACTATGTTACTTTTAATAGAAAAATAACAGCTTTTTTGGAATCTCAACTTTTGACTGCTTTTTTCTAACAACCAGTATTAGATACTACATAACAGGTGTAAAAGCCAGTTAATCAGTCAGTTTTAGTTGAGGCCTCTAAATGTGTATTCTTCTCTTGTAAAACTTAATTATAGTCCTAAAAATGACAACAGTGTCTCAATTATCTGAATATAGCTTGGTAGTAATCTGGTATGAGCCTAGAAAAGGAACTTCAAAATGATGTATCCTAAAGTTAAAAAAAAAGTGTTACAGAAAAATTGCATGAAATAGGAGTTAGCATAGTTCTATAATTTTAAAAAGCCCTGGCAGTGAAAGCATTAGTTTATCAAGATGGTATGTGTAAGTCAGTGGTTTTCAAATATTTCAAATGGTAAACTCATAGTAAAAAGTACAATGGCTTCCTGATCCAGGACAAACATTAAACACAAACAAAACTGAAACAAGTTTCTTAAAAACAATACCTACCCTCCAAACCTAGCAACTGACAGCAAACTCTATCAGTTATGCTCTGAAATCTCTTACTGTAGTCTCATTTTTTCAAAAACTTTGGGTTTTTTTTGCCTATTTTATATATTAAAACCACCAATTTGAAAAACTGCTCTAGATTTTTTTTTTGTCTTTTTTTTTTTTTATCGGTACCGGGGATCGAACTCACGACTGCCTGCTTGCAAGCAGGTGCTTATGCTGCTGAGCTAAATACCCAGCCCGATTATTTTTTAATGCTGGCATTTGCCCCCTCAAATCCTATCCTTTACGTCAATTACTTTAGGTCTGGCAGAAGAAAAACTTTTTACTTACACCAATTGTCAAAGGTATTAGCTTTCCCCCCCACATCCATATGAAAACTAACCACAAACCATGGCTTATGGTGTACTGGGACAGAAGGTTTTGTTTTCTTTTTTACAGGGCTGTGTATGCATGCCTGACAAATGTTCTGCCAGCACTATCCTAGCATAGGCCAGAGATTTAATGCATTTGATGGTGTCTTAAGACGTGAGATCTTCCAGAGTTTACCACACATTTCCCAGGGCACCTCTTAAACTACAGGTATTTAATCACCCAGTCAGATTGTCTGGCTGATTTATATCAGAGTTCAGCTCTAATCAGTAATTTGTATCAGCCAAGTAATTTGAGACTCTTGTGAAATAACTAATATGAACATAATCATATCCATAATAGCCCTCTCATGAATAAAATAAAATTTCTTTCTCTAAATTTCAACAGCCTGGCACTGACAAATTTCCTATCAGCTGGTCTTTCAATGTCAGTGTAAATCCTGGAACATCAACATCAACTATCATTTCTGCCAACATAGAACTGTTTGGATTTGCCAGTCACTAATTTATGCTTGCTGATCTATTCTGTAAAAACTATGCTGTGATGACCCAGCAACTCTCTGGGAGGAGGAAGACTTTCTCTAAGGTTGCAGCAGAGTGAAGGGGGGAAGGAAAGGAGAACACAGAACAGCAAGGACAGACATACCTGGTTTAAATGGGAATGTAATCCCGTCACCAGAGCTATCGGTGGAACCTGAATTAACATCTACTCCTTCGCCCTCGGAAATGCTCTCAGCACCGTTACGCACAGGCTCAGCTTCTTCTCCGTTCTCTTCCACAGCTTTCATCTTTTTCAGGTCACAGGGTTCTCCCTCAGGATGAAACCCTTGGCTTAGTTTATCTTGTTTAGAGTCAAGCACTCTAACAATTGAAAACTCCTCTTCTTCAGCTTTTGACTAAAGTATAAGTGAGCACAGAAATTATATTTTTTCTCACAAATGTAAATATACATAAAACTCTGTAACTACCCCCTCAAAATCATGGGAAAACATGTCACTCAAGATAAAATGTCTGTGTTCAGTATGTGGTCCTAAATGGTAGATTTTAAAAACACTTTACTTCTTTCACTACCCAGGATAAGGCGAACAATTGAACCGGCTACTAAAATGCTTTAACATATGACTAATGAAATCCAAATGTACCAACAGTTAGAATGGAAAGAACTGTTAATCCTTGGAACTTGACGGACATGAAAGAATCCTCGTCAGAAATCTAAAACAAGCACTCCTCCTCTCATCACTAAAGCTCTACAAATATAAAAAGAAACTACGGAGTGTATTTTTGTGCAGTCCCCTGGCTGTGAAATCGTCTGTTTGGAGAACAGCTTTAAGTAACTATGTTCCATAAAGCTGGTCACATCTCCTTTGACAGGGACGATACTTGTTAGTTTGAAATCTGCTTTGCACATTAGTTTTTAGATTAAGAGACGATACAGTAAATACGTGTAAACACACATACATATATGGAAGAAAAAAATCATAAATAAAAACCACTGAGAACATAGCTTCCTAGGGAAAAGCCTGGGTTCAAAAGTATCAAGTACAAACAAGAAAAGAAATATTAAAAATTTATTCTTTGGATTATTTTTTACTATCTTTTTATTTATTTATTTTAAAAATGTTTTTACTATCTTCATGTCAGATATCAAACCCAAGTGGCTTCTGAAGGGCCTCGTGGGGTATCAGAAATGCTTGACACAAAGTTCTCTGAAAGTTAAGTTTCTTTTTCACGAAGAACAGCATTGTGAAGACAGTTCTGGAGCAGGTATTTAGAGGAAAGAGTACTTCCACTTGATACCTTCATGCTACAGGAGTCAAAAATTTGGGCTGGCTCAGTTCAGCATTGTTTAAAAGTGTCTATATCCTGGGAGACAGTTCATTCCAACTGCTCTATGAAAATTTTTTTTTAAAAAATTGTAGTGACAAACCTTACTTTATTACTTAAGAGAACTATCTTAACATACTGGTAAAATATTATGCATCGGATCACAGAGGAAAACACTAAATTTTGAAATGTTAATAATAGCAATAGATGGTTTTTAAGGTCCTGATTCTATAACGGAAGTAAGAAGTTCAGGGAAACACAACCAAATATATAAAGAATGTCTTGGAAAGAGAGTGTATGAAAAATATACAAAGAAAGGTATACAATTTCAAGAAATTGTATAAATTCCAGGAAATAATTTTTTTGTAAAAACAGCAGAAAGTAGGTATACTCTAAACTGTAAATAAAACAGGTGTGCTGAAATTGGATCATGAATCACCAGCCTCAATTTTAAAAATTACATACTCTGTTACAGCCTAAGCAAACTCATAATGACTTTGAAATATATATGCTTAAGCATAGGTTATAAAGACTCCCTCTCCCCTGTTCCCTGAGACAGGGTCTCTATATTGCTCACGCTACCTTGGAACTCCGAAACTCAAGCGATCCTTCTGGCTCAGTCTAAGTCCAATGTTTACTACACTACTCTAAACCTCACATAGCAGGATCTTTAACAAGATATAAATATGTAAACGGGGGGCTGGGGATTTAGCTCAGCGGCATAAGTGCCTGCCTTGCAAGCAGGCAGTTGTGAGTTCGATCCCCGGTACCGATAAAAAGGAAAAAGACAAAAAAAAAAAAAAAAAAAAAGGAAACAGTACTAAAGAGCAGGAAAACTATATAATGATGCAGACTTCTTCAGAGCCTATAAAATATGAAAAAAATTAGGAAAATTTACTGAGTTCTCTGTACCTAAAATTGGCAATAACATAAGGAGGCATATTACTTGGAAATTCAATTTCTCACTGCAAAAAGGAGCATAAACAATCTTGTCATATAAATAACAAACTATAATTCAGAGAATATAGAATTACTGAAGAGTCTGAGGCACAGTGTAACAAGGAATAATTGAAAGGAAATAGAAAAATTAAACATATATGGTGATTAAACATTTCCTAAAAAATTAGATTGAAAAAAAGCACCTCAGTTGCTGTATGACCCAAGGTGAACCTGTTTTAAGAACCTGTTAAAAAGGAAGTTACAGGGGCTGGGGATTTAGCTCAGCAGCATAAGCGCCTGCCTTGCAAGCAGGCAGTCGTGAGTTCGATCCCTGGTACCCATAAAAAAGAAAAAGACAAAAACAAAAAAAAAAAACAAACAAAAAAAGAAGTTACACTGCCTGTATATTTTAATACAGTGTGTTTTTAAAGCACATGAAAATCAAATTGAGAATTGATGAATGAGTGAAGGACTGAAGACTGACAAAATATCCTAAAAATTTTAAAGAAACTTTAAGATGCCTCATCAACAATTTTATTTTATTTGCAGTATTAAGAGATAACTACCAATTTAACAATGAATCATCCTTTTACTACCTTTTTAAGCTATAGTTTATAGGATACACCTAAAACAAGTATTTTTAAAGACTAAGAAAATAATGTAAGAATGGGAAGGCTTGCTCAATGGAGATGAAAACAAAAGTATCTGACATTCACTAAAATACTTGATCAAGTAGTTTTGTTGGATTATTGAACAAAACTGTTTGCAGTCTCACTGTTTGAAAGTCCCCTCTATATGCTTTAATTTTGTAACTTCAACAACTATTTCTAAGATGACAATATGTAATTAACTAGTGATTTCCTACTGTTTATTTTCTCTGAAATTCTGTATAACTTGTACCCCTTTTCTGTTTTTTTTCTTTTTTTTTCCTTAAATAAAATTAAAAATAAAATAAAAAAATAAAAAATAAAAAAAGAAAGGGAAGGACTGGGATTTCTAAAATGTCTATAAACCAATGATCAAATACTTCTAAAATTTTACTTTTAAACCATAGTGTTAGGAAATAAGTGTCTGTTTCAAAATCAGTCAATACAGTTTTGTTTGAAGCTAAAGCAGGTTTTAGCAAACCGTGTCCCAGGGATCATCTCTGGCTCAACACTTGTCTGTGTAAAGGATGCAAGAATGGTTACTATCTTTGCAATGACTAGAAAAAAATCGGGAAATGTATCATGCCTTGTGAATTCAAATGTTTGTGGCCATCCATACGTTTTACTGTAATATACTCACACTTCTTTGTTTACATCATTATTGTGTCAGGAATCACACAGTCCACAGGTCTAAAATATTTACTACCTAGATCTGCGTGGAAAAATTTTGCTGAATTTCAAGCTAAAGAACAGGATCAATATCTGAAGGCATGGTGATGGCCCATTTTTTTAATATTAAATAACTATAGGAATTTTGCCTTACTATAAAGGAACATGAAGTATAACAGAGGAAAATGAATATAAAATCAGTTGAATCTAAATGGCTATCAGTTCATGATGCTTACAGCCATACCAGGAATGCATGGGAATCCCCTCTCTCTAGAAGGTATTTTATCTCTGAAGGAGCATCATTCTCTTATTCAGCTGCAAGAAAAGTACAGCAACTATGTACATCTCTGTTAGTGCCAAGTTTAATCCCCTGATAACCACCATGAATTCATACCTGTTAAACATTTTAGTGGTTACTATGGGACTAACTATGACACCAACAGAGCATCATATAAGAGTAGTGACAGGATGAAACACAGAAGAAACAATGGGGTGGTGTTAGCCATGTGAAGAAGGTATGAAGTTTAATTGGCTAGGGAGAGGGGAAAAAAACTGTTATAAAGGCTAGGTATGGTGGCACATGCTTATAATCCCAGCACTTGGGAAACTGAGAAGACTGGCAGAAGATTACAAGTTCAAGGTCAGCCTGTGCCATTAGCATCTTAGTGAGACCCTGTCTGAAAAAAAATTTTTTTTCAAGGGCTGGGTATATAGGTGCGAAGGCCTGTCTTCAGTTCCCAGTATGGGAGAGAAGGAACAACTAAAAACGTGCTAGGGCAATCCTTAGGACTAACTTCATTATTGTTTCTTTATTGTATCATCTCTGGGACTTAGTATGATTTAAAATACAGTAAAAGCTGGTGAGGCTAATATTAACATAGATAAACCACATGAGGAAGTTATGCTACTGGAATATATGGAAAAGATAACAAATTAACAACAAATTTGCCCCTAAATTTTACTGGGCATTTCTATCATGGCTGCTAATTGTTATTAGAAAAAAGGAAAGGAAAATAAAAAAGAATTTCGGATTATCTCAGGAGTCTATCAGAATGATAAAAAGAAAATTTCAAACAGAGAAGGGGAGACTTAACTAAAAATTGGCCATTTTAGAATAGATTTAGTTAGTTAGTTAGTTATTCTTTCTGAGACAGGGTTTCACTATGTAGTTCAGGGTGGTTGTGAACTCACTTTGTAGCCTAGGCTGACCTTGAAATCACAGTGATCCTCCTGCCTCAGCCTCCCAAGCGCTGAGGCGTGCCTGGCTGATATTTTCAAGAGAGGGCAAGAATTCAATGAAATCAATTATGCTGTTAAAATTTTTACTTGAACCCTACTTAGTATGTGAACTTGAAAAATTAAGTCTCTCTGCTAGATACATGAAGTTTTGCTTAGAAAATGGTATCTCAAAAAAGAATAACCTCTCACCAGTCTTATGAAATGGTATCACTGATTTGAAGATATGGTAAAGAGTTTCACTGTCCTTACCTCCAATTCTGCCTCTAACATCTCTTCAGTGGTTCGTGTCCGATCTTTTGGTTTCTTCCACATCTTTGGTACAGTTGCAACTGTTTGAGCTGAAACAAAAGATTATGTCCATTATTCATTTTTGGACAGTCATCATAAGAGGAAGTAGGTTTAAATAATAGTGGTACTCAAATTCAGCATAAGAGAAGACTTCTCCTATACCAAGGGGACAGTTGAATAGTACGCGAACAACTGTGCAGTTGTAGCTCACAGGCCGCAAATGACAAATGGCTCAGGCACAAACTCAGTTTTCCAAGCAGTGACCTAGGATCATCCTATTTTGTTGCAAGGCACACTTAAGGCATGTAATTTGGTGTAACCTGACATCCCTAAAATAAAAGCCCATAATTTGGAGCGTGAATGCCCATCAGTAAATTCATGTAAATATTCCCGAATTGTAAAAACTGAAATCTAAAACATTTATGGTCTAAGCATTTCAGATAAGGGGTAGTCAAACTGTAAAATGCCTTGGACAAATTCTAGACTTAGGTCTGTTTCTATTTAATGAACTTTGTGATCTTAAATTTAAGTCATACTTCTAAGGTCCCGACATAATTTAACTGTAAAGCAAAAAAAATGAGAATAGATAAAGGATCTTCTAAGCTATAAAAAATATATTATCCAGGATTCATTTTTTAAAAAAAAACTTTCTAGACAACAAAAGGACACTTTGATTAGGGTTTCACTAGAGCAGCAGCTAATCTATAAAATTCAGTTTCCATCTCAGATCAACACTGGCCTTTTCATACAGCTGGAATGAAAAATTAAGAAAATAGTTAATTACACTGGACTACTCTTCTGTATCAGAAATTCTATTTATTTATTTATTTTTTTGTCTTTTTCATTTTTACCGGTACCAGGGATCGAACTCACGACCGCCTGCTTACAAGGCAGGTGCTTATGCCGCTGAGCTAAATCCTCAGCCCCCAGAAATTCTAAATGGAAGACAGAGCTTACAAAGACTTCTCCATTCCCCTGCTTTTTACTACAGTGCTGGAGATTGAATCCAGGGACTCAAGCAAAGAGATAAGCAAGTGCTATATTACTAAGCTAAAACCCTGTTCCTTGAAGGATTTTCAAAAACTCATCTTCCACAGAATTATTCAACACTCAGATATAAAATTAAACTAAATTAACCATCAGATAGCAAATAGAAGATATTAAAATCATCTGATAGAGGACAATTTATGGGTCAACAGATAAGATCAAATTATTTTGAGCCAGTGGATGGGGAGAAGAGTCCAAATCAGTTAGTAGAAATATTATTAAAAGGAAACAAATAAGAACTTGATACACAGCATTTAATCGGATTACCTACAAAAATACAAGATCATTCATTGTTTTTTTTTTTTTTTATGTTTTGCTTTATTGGTTTATTTGTTTGTTTTTGAGACAGGTCTCGATATGCAGTTCAGGCTAGGCTTAAATCCATTACAGAGTCCAGGCTGGCCTTAAACTCTAGGGAGATCCTCCTGCCTCACACTCCAAAGTGCTGGGATTACAAGCATGTGCCACTATGCCCAGCTCAGTGAGACTGGTACAATCTCAAACCTTTTCTTTTTCTTTTTCTTTCTTTCTTTTTTTTTTTTTTTTTTTTTGGTAGAAGAATGTAGTATCAACACACAAACTATTTTGGGAAAAGGAGACATTTAATAATTTTCAAAATTATGGCACAGTAATACTCTAAATCTTTGAAAACACACCTCAAACCAATTTTTCTTTACCTTTTTCCTCCATGATGATAATAAACAATGAAACGTCGTTAGATCGGCTCTTATTCTTTGGTTTTTTTTTTTTTTTTTTTTTTTTGTCTTTTTCATTTTTATTGGCACCAGGGATCGAACTCACGACTGCCTGCTTGCAAGGCAGGTGCTTATGGCACTGAGCTAAATCCCCACCCCTAGCTCTTATTCTTTGTTTGTGGCCTGCTCAAGGTAATTATTTTCTCAGACTATGAGAACTGTGTAGATACATTTTGTAGTTGCCTTTTTTTTGATGGCGGGGGTCTTGTGATTTGTTACAGCCAATCTATTTTATTTATTTTCTAGTTTTTAGTTTTTTGTCATTTTGAGACAGGGTTTCACTATGCAGTTCAGGCTGGGCTCCAACTCACTATGCAGCCCAGAGCGGCCTTAAACTTATAATGATCCTCTTGCCTCAGCCTGACTGCTGGGGTCACAGATGTGCACCACTATGCCCGTCTAATCTGTTGTAAAAACATCCTCCAAATACGCTTTTGATTTTTAATTCTGTCTCCATCCTTTGAAGAGCTATGGAGTTTGGAGATCTGTTCATTTTATTTCAGATTTTGTATTATTTCACATACGAATTCAGCTTCAAATTTCATTCATGGACAGGGCGAATATAATTTTTTGGAAGATTCCCTAAGATCAAATATAAATTCAAAAGTAGTCTTTTCTATACTATAAAAGTAAAGTAAAAAAAGAAAAAAAGTAAAGTAAAATGCAGATAAGGTTTTCTTTCCATTAATACATGAACTATATTTAACCCAAAACATTAAACAACACATTTCTTCCCTGAATAATATCACATATTTAAGGTTTTTAAAAACTACTTTTCTAGTAGGAATTATTTATTTACTTTGTCTAAATAGCTAATGTCTTCATTTAAAAGACTTTAAAGTAGAAATTAAAAAACAGAGATGGACAGGAAACAGCACACAGGTCTTAAAGAGATACACAGCCCTTTTAAAATCTGGCAATGATGCCTACCGAAACTTTGCCATACAGCTCTTTCCTATCATTACTGCAAAAAGTGCAGTAAAATTTTGGTGTGTTGGGTGAAGAGGAAAGAACAAGAAGAAAAGAAAGCAAAGATGAGGAAAAGGAGGTGACAGAGATAGACTGACAGACAGGCAGATTTATAACACAATACCAAACTAGTTAAAACATGGGAAGGATATGGTCACAGACTGGTTCTTTCTAATCCACTGCACAGTCTGAACACTAAAGTTAGTTGATGGAAAAACTAGTATAGTTCTATGTGAAAGACATAGTAGTATTTTTTTTTTTTAAAGGTTGAGGAATAAACAGCAAGCTTCATGTAAGCAAGGCAACATTTTACCGCTGAACTTTTAAACAGGTATTACTGACATCATCAAGGAAAGGAGATAGTGTGTTTTATATTATCTTGCACTAAAGCATCCCAGGACAAATGACAATCTCTACATGAGATTCAGAATTTCTTGAACTTACAGATGCGTAAAGAAGCCTGAAAAATTACTTAATTTATAGCTACATTTAATCTCTACTTTGAAAAATTAGTAAGTAAATTAAAACAACAAAACCCACTCGTAACTTTTATCAAATGACTAATATGCAAATCTGGAAAACTACTGGAGATACAAGTTTAACTGTTTTACTAAGATTCTTTGTCTTATCTTCACAGGGTTTTGAATTTATGTGAAAGATTGTATCAAGTTAAGAATATTCCTATTTTCAACTTTGACCCCAACCATGAAATAACGTGCCCACAAACTGAGCTGCATCAAACCTGGCAGCTCAAATTTTAAGATCAAACCAGAGTATAGTCACATTTTCCGGTATCCATACAGAGCCTGACAAACCACTTTCAGAAATGCAAGCTATTATTTTAGCACAGAGGCAATGGTATTATTTATCAGTGATTTTTTATATGGGTGCTACTGGAGTAAAGTTTCTACTTTTTTTTTTTTTAACTATTTTCTTTTTTGGTACTGGGAACTGAACTCAGGGCCTCGCCCTTGCCAGGTAGGCGCTGCACCGCTGAGCTACATCCCCAGCCCGCTACTCTTGTAAACTAAGATCTAATGAGTTATCTCTGCACAACTTAGAAAATAAACAGTGATCTAGGAGAAAAGGGCCAGGGTTAGTTTTTATTAAACCCTCATATTTTTCAAAAGTTTTCCCCAAACCATGAAAATAAGTACTCAGAAAAACCCTTTCTGTGAAATGCTAGCTTTCACAGAGAAAAGCAGAGAGAGGATATAGTGCATTCTGAGGAACTGCTTCTGTGTAAAACATGATCTAGAACATGTACTCTCTTTTTCTTTGCATGATCATCACCTCCTAGCAAAAGTCCAATAGTTAACTCACAGATTTTAACCAAAAATTCCAACTCAAAGGCATGTTAGATATGTATAGAAAGTAGAAAGGTAACATATATTGCAACTATCAGTGGCATAATGTAGGCCAATACAGAATATTTAATTTATTTTTTCTAATCATAAATAAGCTGTATCATTGAAGAACTATTATGAACAAATATAAAGTTGCAAAAAACTATTTTCCCTTTTTAAAATTAAAATTCATTCATCAGAGAGAAATTGTACCTACACATATTACATATTGATCCTTTTTATATCCCTTCTCTTTTGTTTACTCTCTCATCTTTCCCATGTAAAAAAACTGTCTTATCTCTGAGACAGAACATTTTGGTCTGATTTGTTTCTAGCATTTAAAAAGTATAATACATACTATACACTTAGATTTATAATCTTTTTACAATTGAACTTCAGCTAAGAATTTAAAGCTTTATGGCTTTGATGGTTTAGTATGAACTACACCACCAAATCAACCCTGCCAAAATCCCTATCATTCAGTCTGCTACATTTTGATTAAGCTGTTAAATTTCATGATTATTATTTTTTAAAAGGGAAAATTGAAAAAAATCATAGGGGAGATAATTAAAGTTTAGAAAAGATGTAAAGGGCAGTGAAGAATAATAAAAAGAGCTAAAAGTTCAAGATTTTAAAAATTAAGTCTTAAGCCAGGTATGGTGGCACACACTCGTAATCTCGTCACCTGGGAGCTCCAGGCAGGACTGCTGTGGTTCAAGGTCAACCGAGGCTACATAGTGAGCTCAAGGCCAGCCTGAGCTGAATAGACGGAACTACATACACAGCATGATCCTTAACTCCCCTCCCAATACGTCTTAACAGTAAATGGAACCAGAGAAGTAAAAATCATGCTAGTCCAGCGGAACTCCACACAAAGTTACACTTCCAAACTCAGATCTACCGATAAGGATCAAATCACAGCACAGATTTTTA